ATGGACTCAAGCGTGGCAACAGTAGTGAGGTTGGCCCAGGATCAGGCAGTGTTTCGTTCTGCTGTGCATAAGGTCACTATGGGTCGGTACCAACTCAATGGCACCTAACAACAACAACATAATGAGTCAGAACTGACTTGAAGCCCTTAACAACAGAAACAACAAAGCTAACATACCTAATACCATCAGAAAGTTTATTAATACCTCTATAATGTTAGCTATGGGTCGAAACCGACTCGATGGCACTTAACAACAACAACAACAACAAATGTTAGCTCAGACCACAGCCTTGGTATGAGTTGCACCTCAATGTGAAGAAGACAAAAATCATCAGCAATGTACCAATAAATAATACCAAGACAAATGGAGATAAATTTGAAGTTGTCAGAAGACTTGATTTTGTTTGGATCAACAATCAATAGTCATTAAAGCAGCAGTCAAGCAATCAAATAATGTACTACCTTAGGCAGATCTTCTGCACAAGACCTCTTCGAAGTATTCAAGAGCAAAGATGTCAGTTTGAGGACTCAGATGCACCTGACACAAACCATGATATTTTCTATAGTTTGATATGCATGTACAAGTTGGACAACGAATAAAGAAGGTGGTAGAAGAATTGGTGCTTTTGAGTTATGGTGTCAGAGGAAAATATTAAAAGTACCATGGACTTCCCAATCTGTGTTGGAAGAATACAACGAGAATCCTCCTCAGAAGCCAGGATGGTGAGACCTTGTCTCTCATAGTTCGGACATATTGCAGAGTGATCACTCCCTGGAGAAATACATCATGATTGGTAAAGTGGAGGGTCAGCGACAAAGAGGAAAACCCCCAACGAGATGGAGTGGCCCTAGCCATAGGCTCAAGTGTAGCAACAATTGTGAAATTGGCACAGGATTAGGTTGTGTTTCTTTCTGTTGTGCTTAAGGTCACTATGAGTCGCTATGAGATGGCACCTAACAACAACAACAACAACAAAACTTGACTGGAGGATTGATTGCCATGGATTAGCATGAAACTTAATTTAGTTAAAGTCCATGCTTAGTTTTCAATGATGTTTTTAATGATTTTATAGCTATATCTTTTAAGTTAAACGACCAAGGATTATCTATGTACTATGTATGACTGAAATAACTAGTACTGAAAAACTGATTTATAAAGGTTTAAAAGAATTTTTTTAAGTAGGTGTTTTAAAGTGACCATGAAAGTCTGCTTATCTACCTGGAAAAATTGCCTATCCTGATTCACAGGTACATAACAACCTTAAGAAGAGTCGTATGATGTAGAATGGACAGAAACATCTTTCCAGACTTGGTTCTGTGAAATGTAGAAGGGCAAATTGTTTTTGCCTATTTTGACATGACCTTCTGAGTGATAATATACACCATGTGTACAAAATAGTGTTAAAACTACTTCAACACCATTCTTTTCTTATATATTTAAATTCCCTTCTTGTGACACTTTAAAAATTGACCTTGTAGGAAATTTATATTTGGAGACTTTCTGTGTCTTTGATTAGACTATATTCCACTAGAGAACTAAGTCCATATACAGTGGAGGTAGGTTGGAACAACAGAAAGAAATAGTGTCTAGAACTTGGTTCATAAGCTGACTCTACCACTTATTAGCTTTATGTCTTTGGACTAATTACTCAGTCTTTTTGCACCTAAGACTTTCATCTATTCATTGGAATAATAACAGGACTTTCCTTACACAGTTGGTATACAAATAAAGGAGTTATATGAAGTGCTTACAAGTATGTCTGGAAAGTCCTGGTGTGGCACTGTGGGTTAATGCGTTAGCTGCAAAAGCTGTTTGAACCTCCAGGTTGGTGGTTCAAGCTCACCAATCCTCCTCGGAAAGCCTA